AGGAGAGGAGAGGCAGGGGAGAAAGGAGAGGAGCAGGCAGGAGAGAAAGGAGAGAAGGGAGAGGAAAGGCAGGAGCAGGGACACCCCAGAGGATCCCATCCCTTCCTGCAGCTCTGCAGATGCTCTGGCTCAGCCTCCCCAGCAGCCAAGGGCATGGAAAGGCACAGGGGACCCCCACAGGACACCCAGCTTGTGGAAGGGACAGGAGAGAAGGGAGAGGAGCAGACAGGAGAGAAAGGAGAGGAGAGACAGGGGAGAAAGGAGAGGAGAGGAGCAGACAGGAGAGAAAGGAGAGGAAAGGCAGGAGAGAAAGGAGAGAAAGGAGAGGAGCAGGCAGGGGAGAAGGGAGAGGAGAGGCAGGAGAGAAAGGAGAGAAGGGAGAGGAGAGGCAGGAGAGAAGGGAGAGGAGCAGGCAGGAGAGAAAGGAGAGAAGGGAGAGAAGGGAGAGGGACGGGCGGGAGAGAAAGGAGAGGGAAGGCAGGGGAGAAGGGAGAGAAGGGAGAGGAACAGGCAGGGGAGAAGGGAGAGGAGCAGACAGGAGAGAAAGGAGAGAAGGGAGAGGAGAGGCAGGAGCAGGGACACCCCAGAGGATCCCATCCCTTCCTGCAGCTCTGCAGATGCTGGGGCTCAGCCCCCCCAGCCCCAGCTGTGTTCAGGCTGGAAGGGCCTCAGTGCCCAGCTGTGCTTCCTCCTCCTCCTCCTCCTCCTCCTCCCCCTGCTCCCCCAGCCCTGCTCAAAGTCACGTCCAGCCCGTGCCATGCACCCTGTGCCAGGCACCCTGTGCCAGGCACCCTGTGCCAGCTCCCACCTGGGGCTGCAGGGCACCCTCCAACTGCCACCCCCTCAAAGCTCAGTACCAGGAGTCCCAGAAGCTCTTGGAGATTTATTTCACACCCGAGGTAGCTCAGCTACCTTTGGAGGCATCAAATCAGCAGGGTGGCTTCTGTGGCAGTGTTGGAAACAGAAAGGTTTTAATGAAAGGCAAAATAACGAACTTTTTACAGAGAAAAACCGATCCGAGTGCAAGAAGCCCTCCTGCCTCCAGTAAAACACCTCACAAAAGCAATTAATGTCTTTGTTCTCTTCTTTTTCTAAGAAATTGCCCAAACAAAACTTCTTAGCTCCTGTCCAATGAGCTGTCCTTAAGTTTGAAGTGAAATCCTCCAAGACCTATGAGATGCCTTTTTTCACCTAATCAAAAAGAGAAACTTCTGGGCTTCTTTCCCTTTTTAAAGGAGCAAAAGGAACAAAAACAAGGAACGAAAAGGAACAAAACAAAGATGGTTTTGTCACTCTGTCAACAAAGAGCACGTTCCTATAAAGCTGTGCCACTGCTGCCACCCCCCATTCCCAGGGGGTTCTGACCCCAAGAACTCCCCCGGGGCACCGACATCCCCATCCTGAGCTCAAACATCCCCCAGGGACACCAAAATCCCCATCCTGGGGCATCCTGAGCCCTGCCTGGGCTGCAGGGTTTGCACCATCCTGCTGCTGGCTGAGAGAGAGGGGCCAGGCACCCCAAAAGGCAGGAGGAGGAAGAGGGTGGCAAGGCCAGGGAGGAAGGAAATGCTCACTCCCAGTGCAGCCAAGAGCTCCTGGGGGTCTTTTTGCAGCAGTTTTGGGGGCTCCTGGACCTGCCAGGTGGGAAGAGGAGGAAAGTGAGAGCAGGCAGGCAGTGAGGAAGGGCAGCTCTGAGGCAGATGTGCTGTGGAAATGAGGAGGAGGAGGAAGATAAAAACACATGTGACAGTGTTCAGAGGGGTTTTCAGATTGGGGAAGAGACGAGGATCTGACTCCATGTTTCAGGAGGATGATTTATTATTTTATGATATATATTATATTAAAACTATACTAAAAGAATAGAAGAAAGGATTTCTTCAGAAGGCTGGCTAAGAATAGAAAAGGAAAGAATGATAACAAAGGTTTGTGGCTCTGATAGAGTCTGAGCCAGCTGGACTGTGATTGACCATTAATTAGAAATAACTAACATGGAGTAATCAAAGATCCACCTGTTGCATTCCACAGCAGCAGATAACCATTGTTTGAATTGTGTTCCCAAGGCCTCTCAGCTTCTCAGGAGGAAAAATCCTAAAATTTTCCATAAAAGATGCCTGTGACAAACACACAGCATCGCCTCAGAGAGACCCCAGATCAATCCTCCAACCTCAGCACTCCCTGGGCTCCTTTCAGTCCTGGCTGGGAGAGGCAAACCAGAGCCGGGCCAAGGAGCCAGACAGGATGTCTGGCCGGAGATGAGCCGGAAAGATGATTCCATTGGGGACCCTGAGCCAGCTCATCCCTGCTCCATCCCCGCTCCAGACACCAGGGGACAGCCCCGACCCTCCTGGGGCTGCGGCTGCTGCTCCTCTCGTGTCCCCAGCAGCCCCTGGACGGTGCAGGGTTGGCTCTGGGGATGCTTTGCCAGCAGAGGGGACTGTTGCTTGCCTTGTTGCTTGTCTTGTTGCTTGCCTTGTTGCTTGCCTTGTTGCTTGCCTTGTTGCTTGCCTTGTTGCTTTTTCTTTCCAGCTGTCCCGTGGGACAGCTCTGGAGGAGACATTCCTGTCCTCCTTGCCCTCCCGTGGGAAAATTCGCCGTCTCCAGGGAGGAAACGCTGGCAAATCTCTCCCCCCCAGTGACATTTTCCTCATTTTCCTGCTCCTTTTTTTTTTGGTTTTTTTCTTTTTTCGGCAAAAATCTTCCCGAGTTTGGAATTGTGAATCTCCGCCCCTCGCCGGCGCGCCGCCCTTCCCGCGGAGAAGTCATCTGGGGTGAATAAAGAAAGAAAATCAAAGAAATTAAATATAAAAAATATCCAGCTGTGACTGCTGGACCGCGCAGGGGGTGGAAGCTCTGACGGAAACCAAGGCTCGGAGGAGCTGGTCCCGTTGGGCTCCTGCACATCTGGAGAGAGGGAAGATCACAGCTGGACACAGCTGGGCACAGCTGGAAGCAGCGCCCCGGGGAGGCACCGGCTGAGCTGGGCTCGCTCTGCAGGGGGATTTCCATAGGATGGACCCAGGGATGCCCTCGGTGCAGCCATCGGGCTGTGAGAGAAAGGTGCCAATGAATTAAATAAATGAATGTTCTCTGTGTTTTATGAAGATTCAGAGACTTTTAAGAAATCTGGTCTTTTGACTAGTCATAGAATCAAAAATGCAAATCCTAACAAATATTACCAGGTTCTCTGAGGTTAGGACAGGGAACCAATATATTTGATTATTAATGTGAACAGGAACTCAAAAGGGGTGTTTTTTAATGATTTCTTTTTATATTATTTATATCGTTATTGTTTCTTTCTTTATTTTATTTCTTACTTGAAGATGATGGTGGAACCACCTGATTTATGTGATGTAAATCCAAAGTGTCTGAATTAATACAGATGTTTGGAATTAGAACTCAACTTTATCCTTTATTCTTTTTTTTTTTCTCTCACTTTCAAAAGAAATGTAATTTATTTATTGAAAGACAAAGTTCCAATGGAACATTTCTTGGGCAAAGATTTATCAGATCCAACATGAACTTTGATGTACATCTACATCAAGGGGCTGTGAGACCCTCGGGGGGCTCTGAGCCCCCAGGGTTTGGAGCAGGATGGGGCTCACAAGCCTGTAGGAGCATCAGGACAGATGGAGAGGAGAGATCTCTGCAGCCAGGTCAGAAATTTGGGGTTTATTGCAAAGGGCCTGGGTGCAGGGGCCTGCTGGGATTTGGGGTTTTTGCACAGGGCCTGGGTGCAGGGGATTTTTGGGATTTGGGGTTTATTGCACAGGGCCTGGGTGCAGGAGCCTTTTGGAGTTTGGGGTTCATTGCAAAGAACCTGGGTGCAGGGGCCTGCTGGGATTTGGGGTTTATTGCAAAGGGCCTGGGTGCAGGGGATTTTTGGGATTTGGGGTTTATTATTGCAAAGGGCCTGGGTGCAGGGGCCTTTTGGAATTTGGGGTTTTTGCAAAGGGCCTGGGTGCAGGGGCCTTTTGGAGTTTGGGGTTTATTGCAAAGGGCCTGGGTGCAGGGCCCTGCTGGGATTTGGGGTTTTTGCAAAGGGCCTGGGTGCAGGGCCCTGCTGGAGCTGCCAGGCACAGCTGGAGCAGGACTGAGAGAAGAGAGGGGGAGAGAGGATGAGAGGGAAAGAGAGTAAAGGAGTAAAAAAGGTAAGAGCATAAAAGGGTAAGAGAGTAAAAGGGGTAAGAGAGCGAGGTTCCCATTACAATACAATAAATCTTCTTCTGTGCTGAATATTCTAATTCTCACTAACCAATCCAGTACAAGATACAAATCCTACAGCATTTCCATCCAGCCTGTAAGAATCATTACATCACCATACTGTGTTACATTTTAAACCCTAAAAACTCCTCTTTGGGCCCCTTCTGCCAAGCTGTAGGGTCTGCTCTGCCCCTTGGGCCTGTCTGCAAGCAGAGGGTGTTGTTCCATCAAAAGGGGATCACCTTCAGTCCAGCCACACCATTGTTTTCCAGTTGGTCAGTAACTGAGGGATCTCAAAGCTTGCTTTCATTTCAATCTCACTTATAGTTTCTATATTCTCAAAATCTTTTGCCAGACAATCATATTTGTAAGGCTTTCCTGCTCCATCTTCCCCAACACAAGCCGCCACCGAGGGATGCTGCAGCCGGGCTGAGCATCTGCCAAGCGCCCTTGGACACCTCCCAAGCTCCTCGCCGAGCCCCACGGCAGCCCTCCAGCTCCCTGGCATGGCCCTCGGCCTTTAGGGACAAGATCCAAGCCCTCAAATCACCCTCCCGAAGTTGGAAGCAGCACCTTGCTCTTCCTCACGGCCGGGAAATCCGAGCTCAAGCGTGGAGCCCACGTGGGCTGGAGCCGGCTCGGCTGTGCAAGGGTTAAATCCGGCTGCTCGCCCGGGTCTCGGGGGCCTCCCACTCGGCAGCGCAGGGTATGAATAGCTGCGCTCCCCTCCGCTCGCAGGCACTCGCTTCCCTCCCCGCCTCCCCCGCTCTGCCTCGCCTGCTCCCCGCATCCTCCTGGCCATGCTGAGCACGGAGAGTTTGGCAGGGCCGAGAGCCCTGCGAGAGGAATCGCTGCAGATGTGGGACCTCAACAAGCGCCTGGAGGCGTACCTGGCCCGCGTGAAGTTCCTGGAGGAGGAGAACGAGGTGCTGCGAGCTGAAATCCAGAGCAGCAAGAGCGGCCCGGCCGGGGACTCGTGGAGGGCCAAGTACGAGGAGGAGCTGCGAGCCCTGCGGGACGCGCTGGATGTCGCCTTCAGGGACAAGTGCACGGCCGAGCTGGCCAGGGACAACCTGTACGAGGAGGTGCAGCAGGTGAGAAGCAGGTGCCAGAAGGAGCAGGCAGCCCGAGAAGAAGCCAAGAAGGAGCTGTCCTTGAGCAGGAAGGAGCTGGAGGAGGAGAGGAGAGCGCAGATCTGGCTGAAGGAGAGAGCTGTGCAGCTGGAGAAGGAGGTGGAAGCCTTGCTGGAGGTACACGAGGAGGAGAAAGCGGGGCTGGACCAGGAGATCGCCTCTTTCTCCCACAGCCTGGAGAGTTTCCGCTGCGCCCCCGTGGCTTTGCAGCCGGTGGAGGTGGAGGATTACTCCAAGAGGCTCTCGGAGATCTGGAAAGGGGCGGTGGAGACCTACAAGGCAGAGGTGGCTCAGCTGGAAGGTTCCCTGTGCCAGGCCAAGGAGAATCTCTGGAAGGCGGTGGAGGACAACCAGCAGAGCCAGCTGCAGCTGCAGCACCTGGAGAAGGACCTGGCGGGGCTGAAAGCTCGCAAGGAGATGCTGGAGGAGAGCCTGGCCCGGCAGTGGCAGGAGCAGCGCGGGGAGGCAGAAAAGTTCCAGGCGAGTGAAAATCCCCAGGAAAGGGGACAGCAGAGGGGCTGGGGGTGGCTGGGTGGGCACGCAGGACACGACCCTGAGCAAAGAGATGCGAGAGATGGATGGGGGGAGGCGAACAGAGCGAACAAACCCCAGGGAAAGGATGGAGCTGCAGAGGAAGCTGGGGAGGGCGGGAGGAAGAGCAAAGCGGCTTGGGGACATCCCTGTCCCTGGGGACAACAGAAACCCGGGGCCACCAAAGTGCAGGGGAGCAGCAGCAGGCACCGGGGGCTCCCCCAGCACCCTGCCCGAGCTCCGGGCTGCGGATCCCGGGGCGGCCGCGGCAGGAAGGACAAACTCCCAAACTCGCAGCGAGTTCGCTGCAGCTGCGATCCGACAGCTGCAAAAGCGATTCAGAGCAGGGAGGGTGGAGGCGGAGCGGGCTGGAAATACCGGGAGCGGCGTCACCGCTGCCCGGGGAAGGGTCTCCCTTTGTTCCAGCTCCTGGGAGCAGCCCTGGGTGTCCCGGGGCAGAGGATGCCGCCGCCTCCGCTGCTCTGCTGAAAGTTATTTCTTTCCCACGCTGGCCGTGAATCAGCCCGGCCTTTCCTCCCTCTTCCCGTCCCCTTTCTGCCCTGCTCATTTCCCCCATCCTCAGCCCCTGGTGTTAAAATGAGCTCCAGGCTCATCCTTGAGCATCCTGCAGGGATCCCGAGCCCTGCGGGGACCGGTGGGGCTCGGGCAGGGCTGGGGGCGGCCCTGACCCCCCCTGTGGTGCCCATGGAGTCGTTTCTTTCCCTCGCTGGCCGTGAATCACCTCGGCCTTTCCTCCCTCTTCCCATTCTCTCCTCATCCCGCCCCATCCTCAGCCCCCGGTGCTAAAATGAGCTCCAGGCTCGTCCCTGAGCATCCTGCGGGGATCAGCGGAGCCACCGAGCCCTGCCCAGGTCTGCGGGGCTCGGGCAGGGCTGGGGGTGACCCTGAGCCCCCTGACGCCCCCTGTGCTGCCCGCAGCTGCCCATGGAGGCCCTGGAGCAGGAGCAGCAGAGCCATGAAGTTGTTTCTTTCCCAATCAGCCCGGCCTTTCCTCCCTCTCCCCATCCCCTGCTCATCTCCCTCATCCTCAGCCCCCGGTGCTAAAATGAGCTCCAGGCTCATCCCCTGAGCATCCTGATGGGATCCTGAACCCCGCCGGGAGCTGGGGGGCTCGGGCAGGGCTGGGGGTGACCCTGACCCCCCTGTGCTGCCCGCAGCTGCCCATGGAGTTGTTTCTTTCCCTCGCTGTGAATCAGCCCAGCCTTTCCTCCCTCTTCTCCCCCATCCTCAGCCCCCGGTGCTAAAACGAGCTCCAGGCTCCTGTCCCTGAGCATCCTGCAGGGATCCCGAACCCCGTGGGGAGCTGGGGGGCTCGGGCAGGTCTGGGGGTGACCCTGAGCCCCCCTGACCCCCCTGTGGTGCCCGCAGCTGCCCATGGAGTTGTTTCTTTCCCTCGCTGTGAATCACCCTGGCCTTTCCTCCCTCTTCTCCCCCATCCTCAACCCCCGGTGTTAAAATGAGCTCCAGGCTCATCCCCTGAGCATCCTGCGGGGATCCCGAACCCCGCGGGGATCTGGGGGGCTCGGGCAGGGCTGGGGGTGACCCTGAGCCCCCCTGACCCCCCTGTGGTGCCCGCAGCTGGCCATGGAGGCGCTGGAGCAGGAGCAGCAGAGCCTGCGGGTGCAGATCGCCCGGGTGCTGGAGGACAGGCAGCAGCTGATGCACCTCAAGATGTCCCTGAGCCTGGAAGTGGCGACCTACAGGTGAGCTCGGGGTGGGCACCGCGGCGGGCACAGCTGGGCGGGGGCACCGCGGGGACAGCGCCGTGCCCCCGGAGCGGCCCTTCCTTCCCTCCCGATGGCCCCGCACAAAGGGACCGGGGAGGGGGGGACAATTAGCATGAGAATGGGGCTGGCCCTGCCCGGCCGAGCGTGATGTCACCGGGCGGGGACACTAATCCGGGCCTCGGGGGGAGGGGACGGGGCACGGCAGCGAGGGGGGCTCCGTCGGGCTCCGTACCGAGCCGGGCCAGGGCAGCGGAACCAGCCGTGCCTCAGTTTACCCGCGCTGTGTCCGGCAGAACAGCCGTGCCTCAGTTTACCCGTCCTGTGTCCGGCAGAACAGCCCTGCCTCAGTTTACCCACCCTGTGTCCGGCAGAACAGCCCTGCCTCAGTTTACCCACCCTGTGTCCAGCAGAACAGCCGTGCCTCAGTTTACCCGCCCTGTGTCCGGCAGAACAGCCGTGCCTCAGTTTACCCGCCCTGATGTTCTGTGTCCAGAGCAGCACATCCAGAGCAGCACAAGCACCCGTGCCTCAGTTTACCCACCTTGATGCCCCCTGTGTCCATAGCAGCACAGGCAGCCGTGCCTCAGTTTACCCACCTTGATGCCCCCTGTGTCCAGAGCAGTACAATCAGCCATGCCTCAGTTTTCCTGCCCTTACACCCTGTGTCCAGAGCAGCACAGGCAGCCGTGCCTCAGTTTACCTGCCCTGTGTCCAGAGCAGCAGAACCAGCCGTGCCTCAGTTTACCCACCCTGATGCCACAAGCACCTGTGCCTCAGTTTACCCGCTCTGGCCCCCCATGTTCAGGGCAGCTCATGCACCTGTGCCTCAGTTTACCTGCCCTGACATTCTGTGTCCAGAGCAGCACATCCAGAGCAGCACAAGCACCTGTGCCTCAGTTTACCCACCCTCACACCCAATGTCCATAGCAGCAGAACCAGCCGTGCCTCAGTTTACCTGCCCTGATAACCTGTGTCCAGAGCAGCACATCCAGCCGTGCCTCAGTTTACCCACCCTGATGCCACAAGCACCCGTGCCTCAGTTTACCCGCTCTGACCCCCCATGTTCAGAGCAGCTCAAGCACCTGTGCCTCAGTTTACCTGCCCTGTGTCCATGGCAGCAGAACCAGCCGTGCCTCAGTTTACCCACCCTGACACTCTGTGTCCATAGCAGCAGAACCAGCCGTGCCTCAGTTTACCTGCCCTGACCCTCTGTGTCCAGAGCAGCATATCCATAGCAGCACAAGCACCTATGCCTCAGTTTACCTGCCCTGATGCCACAAGCAGCCATGCCTCAGTTTACCTGCTCTGGCCCCCCATGTTCAGGGCAGCTCAAGCACCTGTGCCTCAGTTTACCCACCCTGATGCCCTCTGTGTCCATAGCAGTGCAGGCACCCGTGCCTCAGTTTACCTGCTCTCACACTCTGTGTCCAGAGCAGCATATCCATAGCAGCACAAGCACCCGTGCCTCAGTTTACCCGCCCTAAGTCTATAGCAGCACAAGCAGCCGTGCCTCAGTTTACCTGCCCTGATGCCACAAGCACCCGTGCCTCAGTTTACCCACCCTGATGCCCTCTGTGTCCATAGCAGCGCAGGCACCCGTGCCTCAGTTTACCCAGCCTGGGGGGCACAGGGAGCCCCCAGCACCCCCCAGCACCCCCCAGCCCCTCTCCTCTCCCCCAGGACGCTGCTGGAAGCCGAGAGCAGCCGCCTGCAGGTGCCCGCCGGGGAATTCAGGGGGACCAGCGGGGTGAGAGGTAAGGGACCCCCGGTGCCACCCCTGGGAGGGTTTAAATGGGTTTAAATGTGGGTTTAGACACCTTTTCCTGGGGGGTTAAATGGGTTTAAATGTGGGTTTAGACACATTTTCCTGGGGGGGTTAAATGGGTTTAAATGTGGGTTTAGACAACTTTTCCTGGGGGGGTTAAATGGGTTTAAATGTGGATTTAGGCACATTTTCCTGATGGGGGTTAGACATGTTTAAATGTGGATTCAGACACATTTCCCTGCATTTTCCTGGGGAGGTTTAAATGTGGATTTAGACACATTTTCCTGGGGAGGTTTAAATGTGTTTAAATGTGGATTTAGGCACATTCCCTGCATTTTCTAGGGGGAGGTTTACATGTGTTTAAATGTGGACTCAGACACATTTTCCTGCATTTTCCTGGGGTGTTTAAATGTGGATTTAGGTACATTTCCCTGCATTTTCTAGGGGGAGGTTTACATGTGTTTAAATGTGGATTCAGACACATTTTCCTGCATTTTCCTGGGGTGTTTAAATGTGGATTTAGGTACATTTCCCTGCATTTTCTAGGGGAGGTTTACATGTGTTTAAATGTGGATTCAGACACATTTCCCTGCATTTTCCTTGGGAAGGTTTAATGTGGGTTTAGACACATTTTCCTGGTGGAGGTTAGATGCATTTAAATGTGGATTTAGACACCTTTTCCTGGGGGTTTAAATGGGTTTAAATGTGGATTTAGACACATTTTCCTGGGGAGGGGTTAGACATGTTTAAATGTGGATTCAGACACATTTCCCTGCATTTTCCTGGGGAGGTTTAAATGTGGATTTAGACACATTTTCCTGGGGGGGTTAAATGTGTTTAAATATGGATTCAGACACATTTCCCTGCATTTTCCTGGGGGGATTTACATGTGTTTAAATTGGATTTAGACACATTTTCCTGGGGAGGTTAAGTGTAGATTTAGACACATTTTCCTGGTGGAGGTTAGATGCATTTAAATGCGGATTTAGACACATTTCTAGAGGTTAGATGTGTTTAAATGTGGATTCAGACACATTTCTAGAGGTTAGATATGTTTAAATGTGGATTTAGACACATTTCTAGAGGTTAGATGTGTTTAAATGTGGATTTAGACACATTTCTAGAGGTTAGATGTGTTTAAATGTGGATTCAGACACATTTCTAGAGGTTAGATGTGTTTAAATGCGGATTCAGACACATTTCCCTGCATTTTCCTGCCAGTGATAGGAAGGTGTGAACAGCGGCCAGGGGGGTGGCTCTTGGCACGGGGCTCACATCCCAGATAAGCCTTATCTGCTCCTTCACCAGCCTTATCTGCTCCTTCGCCTGGTTTTTAATTCCCTTCCTTTCATGGGAAGGGCAGCACAGGACGGGAGGGCTGCGCTAACCAGCTGAGCATTTCCTTTTTCCTCAAAACAAACCAAAAAAAACACCAAATGAAAATCCCAAGGAAAGCTTTGTCACCTGCACACTTGGCCCAGCAGCAGGGCCCAGCTGTGGCTGCAGCTGCGTGTGAGGATGAGGGGAGAGAGGAGGATCTGACTCCATGTTTCAGAAGGTTTGATTTATTATTTTATGATATATATTATATTAAAACTGTACTAAAAGAATAGAAGAAAGGATTTCATCAGAAGGCTGGCTAAGAATAGAAAAAGAAAGAGTGATAACAAAGGTTTGTGGCTCGGACAGAGTCCGAGCCAGCTGGGCTGTGATTGGCCATTAATTAGAAACAACCACATGAGCCCAATCCCAGATCCACCTGTTGCATTCCACAGCAGCAGATAACCATTGCTTGCATTTTGTTCCTGAGGCCTCTCAGCTTCTCAGGAGGAACAATCCTAAGGAAAGGATTTTTGATAGAAGATGTCTGCGACAGCTGGGCACAAATCCCTCGGGAGCCGCAGCATCCGCTGCACTCAGGAGGGAGGAATTTCCCACTTTCCAAGAAGGAGCTGGTTAAAAATAGGAGAGGGGGCAGCCAGAGGCAGCCAGGGCAGGGCTGGGAGAGGCTCATGGTTCCTCCTTGCTCTTTGCAGATCTCAAACTGGAGCTGAGCAGCGGCAAAGCGGCACCAGCGAGCCCCGAGGGCAGGCGGGTGCTGCCCTGCACCCCCTTCCCCAGGGTGACAAAACACCCCCAAAGCGCCACCCTGACACCCCAAAGCGCCACCCTGACACCCCAAAGCACCAGGGAGCTCCAGAAAATCACCTCAGCCCTCCATGGCAGCGCTGCCAGCAGGGCTGGAGGGCTGGGGGCTCCCACTGCCAGCCCTCCCCAGGCAGGCAGAGCCTCCCTTCCCCTCTCCCCCGAGCAGGAGAGGTCTGGGGGGGAAGGTCCTGCCTGGCCAGGAGGAGATGAGGCAGCAATGAGCCCAGGGATGGAGTGTCCCCTGTCCAGAGCCTCAGGGGATGGTGGCAGTGCCAGCCTGCAGCTCCTGGGAGCTGCCCACAGGCTGCAGTACCCGGCCCAGCTGGTCAGTGAGGCGCTGGAGGATGCCCTCAAGGAGATGGGAGATGATGCTCAGCCTGAAGAGGAGCCCACACCCAGCTCCACGTGGAATATCCATGCCCCCAGCCCCGTTTTCCCCACCAAGGCTGTGCCAGAGGGGCCTGGGGAAGGGCAGGAGGGATCTGAGGATGGGGAGAGCCCCGAGGATGAGGAGGTGATGCTCCAAGGGCTGGCTGGAGAGAGCAGCACCCTGCAGGACTCAGCTTCATCCCCACCGAGCACGGACCCTCCCTTGGGTGCCTTGGGGAGCCAGGAAGATCTGGGAGCCTGGGAGGAGGAGGAGGAGGAGGAAGAGGAGGAGGTTCCTGCAGTGCTGAGCCCAAGGGACCCAGAAATGGAGGCCCAGGAAGGGGATGAGGGCCTGCCTGGGCACACAGAGACCAGCTGGGAAAAACCAGAGCAGGAGAAGGCGCAGACGCCCAGCACGGAGCCATCACACCCCTCAGAGGATGAGGAGGAGGAGAAGGGAGATTTCCAGGAAGAAAGAGCAGATGTGCAAGAAGAGGAATGTCCCCATGAAGAAGTGGAAGCTGCTGCTGCTGTCCTTGTGCAAAGCCACCTGGTTGTTCCCACAGAAGGTCACCTGGAGCAGGACTCTGCGGATGCAGAGCAGGAAATGCCCAGCTGTGAGGTGGACCTGGCTGCAGAGGAGGGAAGGGAACAGGAGCTGAGTCCAGAGCAGGAGCCCTCGGGTGTCCCTGAGGCCATCCCAGCAGAGGAGGCTGCCACAGGAGCTGAGGGAGGTGCTGTGGCACGGGAGGACACGGGCACAGGGGAAGGTGGTGAGGGAGAAAAGGGAGAGGCCAGCAGGGAGGTGCTGGGAGGGGAGGATCACAGGGTGGGACAGGATCCCATGGCAGGAGAAGACCCTGGGGCAGGAGAAGATCTTGGGGCAGGAGAAGATCTTGGGGCAGGAGAAGATCTTGGGGCAGGAGAAGATCTTGGGGCAGGAGAAGGCTCTGAGACAAGAGATCTTGGGGCAGGAGAAGATCATGGGACAGGAGAAGATCTTGGGGCAGGAGAAGGCTCTGAGACAGGAGATCTTGAGGCAGGAGAAGACCATGGGATAGGAGAAGATCTTGGGGCAGGAGAAGACTCTGAGGCAGGAGAACACCATGGGGCAGGAGAAGATCTTGAGCCAGGAGAAGACCTTAGAGCAGGAGAAGATCTTGAGCCAGGAGAAGACCTTGGAGCAGGAGAAGACCTCGGGGCAGGAGAAGATCTTGGGGCAGGAGAAGACCATGAGGCAGGAGAGCACCATGGGGTAGGAGAAGATCTTGGGGCAGGAGAAGATCTTCAGCCAGGAGAGGACTCTGAGGCAGGAGAAGACCTTGGGACAGGAGAAGATCATAGGGTAGGAGAAGACCTTGGGACAGGAGAAGACCTTGGGACAGGAGAAGACCTTGGGGCAGAAGAAGACCATGGGGTAGGAGAAGGCTTCAAGACAGGAGAAGACCATAAGGTAGGAGAAGATCATGGGGCAGGAGAAGACTCTGAGGCAGGAGAAGATCTTGGGGCAGGAGAAGACCATAGGGTAGGAGATCTTGGGGCAGGAGAAGATCTTGGGGCAGGAGAAGATCATAGGGTAGGAGAAGATCATAGGGTAGGAGAAGACCTTGGGACAGGAGAAGATCATGGGGTAGGAGAAGATCTTGGGGCAGGAGAAGATCTTGGGGCAGGAGAACACCATGGGGTAGGAGAAGGCTCTGAGGCAGGAGATCTTGGGGCAGGAGATCTTGGGGCAGGAGAGGCAGGTGACACCCTGGAGGGGGACAGCAGAGCCCCAGAGGAGCCTGAGGAGCTGCAGGAAGGAGAAGAGGAGGAACAGGAGGAGCTGGAGCCAGGACAGGAGCCCTGGGCACAGGGGGGTGACGATGGCAGTGCCCAAGAGCCCTGCCCAGAGGACTGGGAGGTGACAGAAGGGGACACTGAGGAGCCAGCCTGGGCAGGTGACACCCCGAGCAGGGCAGGAAGGCTGGAAAGAGAGGAGGGAGGTGGCTCAGGGCCAGCAGAGCTGGAGGAGGCCCAGGAGGATGATGAAGGAGATGCCAGGAGCCAGGAGATGAGGCAGCAGCAGGCGCTGGCACAGCAGGGCAGGGTGGCACAGCCTGAGCCAGCCCCTCCAGGTGCCCCCGGGCCAGGGCACAGCCAGGAGCTGGCAGAGGCTCCACAGGAACCAGGGCAGCTGCAGGGTGAGGATGGGGCTGAGGGGCTCAGCCCAGAGCTGGGGGAGCTGGAGAGACCAGAGCTGGTGGCACCAGGGCAGGTGCCAGGTGCCAGTGCTGAGTGGGCATTGGAGGAAGCCACCAGAGACACAGAGTCCCCAAAATTGGAGAGCTCAGAGCTGGTGGCACCGGGGCAGGTGCCAGGTGCCAGTGCTGAGTGGGCACTGGAGGAAGCCACCAGAGACACAGAACCCACAAAATTGGTGGCACCAGGGCTGGTGCCAGGTGAGAACAGCGAGTGGGCACTGGAGGAAGCCACCAGAGACACAGAGCCCCCAAAACTGGAGAGCTCAGGGCTGGTGGCACCGGGGCAGGTGCCAGGTGAGTGGGCAGTGGAGGAAGCCACCAGAGACACAGAGCCCACAGAATTGGTGGCACCAGGGCTGGTGCCAGGTGATGGTGCTGAGTGGGCATTGGAGGAGACCCCCAGAGCCGCAGAGCTGGCAGAGCTGGAGAGCTCAGGGCTGGTGGCACCGGGGCAGGTGCCAGGTGAGGACACTGAGTGGGCATTGGAGGAGACCCCCAGAGCCCCAGAGCTGGTGGCACCGGGGCAGGTGCCAGGTGAGGGCACTGAGTGGGCACTAGAGGAGACCCCCAGAGCCGCAGAGCTGGCGGTGGGCACGGGCAGGAGGGTGGAGCTGGAGGACACACTGCCAGACTGCACCCCCCTGCACCTCTACCGGGAGGAGATGATGATGGGGACACCCAGCCCAAACCCTGCAGACAGCGAGAAGACCCCAGGGACAGCTCCTGTGTGTGCCACAGCCCAGCAGGGTGAAGGGTGGCAGCAAGGGAGGGACCGGCCACCGAGTGCCAGCGTGCCAGAGAGCCCCGAAGGGGAGGAAGAGGAGGCTGAGGAGGAAGGTTATTTCATGGTCTCTGCTCCCAGCCAAGAGGTGTCCAGCTCAGAGGAAGCTGAGATCCCTGAAGACTTTGAAGAAATTCAAGTGGAAGCAGCTGAAGGTGGCCAAGATGATCTGGGGGCTCCTGGGGAAGCATCTCCAGGGCCAGAGGGCACAGAGCACCTGGAGGTGCTTGCTGCAGGAGCAGATGAGGGTATGGAGGTGCCCACTGAGGAACTTGAGGTGCCAGAGGATGAGGAGGGCACAGCTGAGCTGGAGGAAGGCGCAGAAGAAGATCCCAGCTGCCCTGGGGTGATGGAACCATCAGCTGGAGGATCTGGTGAGCCAGCCCAGGGTGCCACAGCATGGCAGGGACCAGAGTGCCCAGAAGATCTGGCTGCTGATCCAGATGAGGGTATGGAGGTGCCCACTGAGGAACCCGAGGTGCCAGAGGATGAGGAGGGTGTTGCTGAGCTGGAGGAAGGCCCAGAAGAAGATCCCAGCTGCCCTAGGGTGGTGGAACCATCAGCAGGAAGTTCTGGTGAGCCAGCCCTGGGTGCCACAAGCTCTGCAGCGTGGCAGGGATCAGAGAACCCAGAAGATCCAGATGAGGAGCTCCACAGCACAGCTGGGCTGGAGGAAGGCCCAGAAGAAGATCCCAGCTGCCTTGGGGTGACGGAACCATCAGCAGGAGGTTCTGGTGAGCCAGCCCAGGGTGCCACAGCGTGGCAGGGACCAGAGCACCCAGAAGATCCAGATGAGGAGCTCCACAGCAGAGCTGAGCTGGAGGGGGATGGCACTGGAGCAACAACCACGCTGGGGCTGGCAGGGCAGGAGGAGGAGGAGGAAGATGAGGATGAGCCCAGCACGGCTCTCCATGACACAGCCGAGGCCACAGCAGAGCTCCAGGCCCAGGCAGTGCCTGATGAAGCAGAGAAGGCTCTGGAAGAGCAGCCAGGCATGGAGGAGGAAGCCGTGGGCAGTGAGAGCCCTCCTTGCCCTGCGCCGGGGCAGGGAGGCTCTCCAGAGGTGCTCCCAGACATCCCCGACACAGCTGAGCTGCCAGTGGAGCTCATGAAAGCCTCGGGCATTTTGGAAATAGTGGAGCAGGCGCTGGAGTTCAACCAGGAGCTGATGGGGGCGAGGGTGGCAGAGGCTGGGCAGGGTCCTGGCGGGAGAGAGCTCTCCTGGGATGGAGGGGAACACCCCGAGCTCTGCCGGGATGGAGGGGAACACCCTGAGCCCTGCCGGGATGGAGGGGAACACCCTGAGCTCCCCCGGGATGGGGGGGAACATTCTGAGCTCTGCCAGGATGGAGGGGAACACTCTGAGCTCTCCCAGGATGCAGAGGAAGACCCCAAACCCTCCCAGGATGCAGAGGAAGGCTCTCAGTTCCCCCGGGATGCAGAGGAAGGCTCTGAGCTCTCCCCGGATGCAGAGGAAGACCCCAAACTCTCCCGGGATGCAGAGGAAGGCTCTGAACTGTCCCGGGATGCAGAGGAACACCCCGAGCTCTCCCAGGATGCAGGAGAACACTCTGAGGATGCAGAGGAACACCCCAAACACTCCCAGGATGCAGAGGAAGGCTCTCAGTTCCCCCGGGATGCAGAGGAAGACCCCAAATTCCCCCGGGATGCAGAGGAAGGCTCTGAGCCGTCCCGGGATGCAGGAGAACACTCTGAGCTGTCCCAGGATGCAGAGGAAGACTCCAAACTCCCCCAGGATGCAGAGGAACACCCCGAGCTCTCCCGGGATGCAGAGGAACACCCCGAGCTGTCCCGGGATGCAGAGGAAGACCCCGAGCTGTCCCGGGATGCAGAGGAAGGCTCCTCCCTCTCCTCATCCAGCGAGGAGGAGCCCACGGTGCAGGAGGCCCCGGCGGCGGCGCAGGAGGGTGAGCCCCGGGCTCAGAACGGGCTGCACCGCCAGCCCAGCCTGGAGGAGCTGCCCGAATTCACCGAGGAGCTGCTGAACGGCACCTCCAGCGCTGCCCCCGCACAGGAGATGCCCTCAGAGCCCGCGGGGGTGATGCCAGCACTGGCCCCCAGCCCTGGGGACGGCAGCCTCAGGGCGAAGCGGCTGAGCCCCGTGTCCCCTGCTCTGGGGGACGATGTCCTGAGCCCCAGAGCCCAGCAGCAGCCCTGCTCCTCAGGGGACGAGTGACAGAAGCTTCTGGTAGCTCCTTCCTGCCGGAACCCGGTGCCCTCCCTGTCCCACCCGCTCCTGATGCTTCCCCATCTCCCTGTGGGTTTTTAACGTGTTTGTGTGGATGTTTTGCACCCCTTTCCAGAGTGAAGAACCGCCAAGTTCTGTTGCCCCCCTCACAGCCCACCCAAATTCTCGTGTTTGCCCTGCTTCATTTTGAGTTTCCTCCTGGGTGGGTTGCCGTGGCTGTATTTAATTTAAATTCTGTGTTTCCCCGTTCCCTGCAAGATTCCCTCTCCAAATCCTCCAGGATGTCCAGCTGGAGCTTAGGGACCCCCACAAACCCCCCCTGGGACTCAGCATTTTGGGCTACATCACCCCAGGCTCTGCAGCCTGACCCAGGTGTTTTTAACGTGTTTGTATGGATTTTTTGCACCCCTTTCCAGAGTGAAGAACCACCAAGTTCTGTTGCACCCTCACAAATTCTCATGTTTGCTCTGAGACTCCTGCTTCATTTTGAGTTTCCTCCTGGGTGGGTTGCCTGGAGGAACCCATCTGGTATTTAATTTAAATTCTGTGTTTCCCCACTGCCTGCACTCTTCCCTCTCCAAACTCTCCAGTATTTGCCCCAGGATGTCCAGCTGGGGGTTAGGGACCCTCCCAAACTGCACCCTGGGACTCAGCATTTTGGGCTACATCACCCCAGGCTCCCCCAGCCTGACCCTGGGGGCTGAGCCATGCTGGATGTACCCAAAATTAATTTAATAAAGCCTCATCCTCCCCTCAGGGCTGGCTCTCCTCACTCTGGGGCAGGGGCAGCAGGGCTGGGGATGGCACTGACAGGGAGGGCTGGGATGGTGCCCTGGTGGGGATCCTGGGGGCAGGATCTGGGGGCAGGATGGGTGGGATGGTGCTGCCCCATCTCTGGCACAATGCACAGCCCCGGAGTTTCATGGCCACAGTCCCTGGGGTGGTGCAGCCCCCAGAGCCATGGAAATGGTTGAGCAGGCGCTGGAGCTCAACCAGGAGCTGATGGGGGCAGGGTGGCAGAGGGTGGGCAGGGTCTGCAACCCCGGGACGCTGCTCCAGTGCCAGGGTGGTGCAGCCCAGCAGGGCAGTGCCCCCAGGAGGGTTTTCCCCCATGCCCAGGGTGATGCAGATCCCAGAACAACACCCAGAGGAGATGTTCCCCCATGCCCAGGGTGATGCAGACCTCAGGGGATGTTCCCCCATGCCCAGGGTGATGCAGCCCTCAGGACTATTCAGCCCCCAGGGCAATGCCCCCAGGAGGATTTTCCCCCATTCCCAGGGCAATGCCCCCAGGATGTTCCCCCATTCCCAGGGCAATGCCCCCAGAAGGGTTTTCTCCAATTCCCAGGGCAATGTTCCCCCCCATTCCCAGGGCAATGTTCCCCCCCATTCCCAGGGCAATGTTCCCCCCCATTCCCAGGGCAATGCCCCCAGGGGATGTTCCCCATTCCCAGGGTGCTGCAGCCCTCAGGGGATGTTCCCCCACTCCCAAGGCAATGCCCCCAGGGGATGTTTCCCCATTCCCAGGGCAATGCTCCCAGGGGATGTTCCCCATTCCCAAGGTGATGGAGCCCTCAGGACTATTCAGCCCCCAGGGTAATGCCCCCAGGAGGATTCTCCCCCATTCCCAAGGCAATGTTCCCCCCCATTCCCAGGGCAATGCCCCCAGGGGATGTTCCCCATTCCCAGGGCAATGCTCCCATGGGATGTTCCCCATTCCCAAGGCAATGCCCCCAGGGGATGTTCCCCATTCCCAGGGTGCTGCAGCTCCCAGGGGATGTTCCCCATTCCCAAGGCAATGCTCCCATGGGATGTTCCCCATTCCCAGGGCAATGCTCCCAGTGGATGTTTCCCATTCCCAGGGTGCTGCAGCTCCCAGGGGATGTTCCCCATTCCCACGGCAATGCCCCCAGGAGGATTCTCCCCCATTCCCAGGGCAATGCTCCCAGGGGATGTTCCCCATTCCCACGGCAATGCTCCCAGGGGATTGTTCCCCCATACCCAGGGCAATGTTCCACCCCCCATTCCCACGGCAATGCTCCCAGGGGATGTTCCCCATTCCAAGGGCAATGTTCCCCCCCCCATTCCCAGGGCAATGCTCCCAGGGGATGTTCCCCATTCCCAGGGTGCTGCAGCTCCCAGGGGATGTTCCCCATTCCCAGGGCAATGCTCCCATGGGATTGTTCCCCATTCCAAGGGTGCTGCAGCTCCCAGGGGATGTTCCCCATTCCCAGGGCAGTGCCCCCAGGAGGATTCTCCCCCATTCCCAGGGCAATGCTCCCATGGGATTGTTCCCCATTCCCAGGGCAATGCTCCCAGGGGATGTTCCCCATTCCAAGGGCAATGTTCCCCCCCCCATTCCCAGGGCAATGCTCCCAGGGGATGTTCCCCATTCCCAGGGTGCTGCAGCTCCCAGGGGATGTTCCCCATTCCCACGGCAATGCTCCCAGGGGATTGTTCCCCCATTCCCAGGGCAGTGCTCCCATGGGATTGTTCTCCATTCCCAGGGCAATGCCCCCAGGAGGATTCTCCCCCATTCCCAGGGCAATGCTCCCAGGGGATGTTCCCCATTCCCAAGGCAATGCCCCCAGGGGATGTTCCCCATTCCCAGGGCAATGCCCCCAGGGGATGTTCCCCATTCCCAGGGTGATGCAGCCCTCAGGGGATGTTCCCCCACTCCCAGGGCAATGCCCCCAGGATGTTCCCCCATTCCCAGGGCAATGCTCCTGGGGGATGTTCCCCATTCCCAGGGTGATGGAGCGCTCAGGACTATTCAGCTCCCAGGGCAATGCCCCCAGGAGGATTCTCCCCCATTCCCAAGGCAATGCTCCCAGGGGATGTTCCCCATTCCCAGGGTGCTGCAGCTCCCAGTGGATGTTCCCCATTCCCAGGGCAATGCTCCCAGGGGATGTTCCCCATTCCCAGGGTGCTGCAGCTCCCAGGGGATGTTCCCCATTCCCAGGGCAATGCTCCCAGGGGATGTTCCCCATTCCCACAGCAATGCTCCCAGGGGATGTTCCCCATTCCCAGGGCAGTGCCCCCAGGAGGATTCTCCCCCATTCCCAGGGCAATGCTCCCAGGGGATGTTCCCCATTCCCAGGGCAATGTTCCCCCCCCCCATTCCCAAGGCAATGCCTCCAGGGGATTTTTCCCCCATTCCCACAGCGATGCACAGCACAACCCGCACACCCCGGCCCCGGGAAGCACCGGAACGCCGTGAGGACCCCCCGAGCCGGAGGGCGGTGGGTACAGGGGGGCTGTGCAGGGCTCAATCGCCCCGTTGTGCAGCCGGGCGTGGGGAGAGGCGCATAAATCAGCACGCGGCCGAAAGAACGGGCTCCTTTATGCCGGGCAAAGGGCTGAGTCACAGCCGGACGGGGCACACGCTGACTCGGGCGGCCCTGGCATGGCTGGCACCCGCGGGGGTGCTCAGCATCACCCTGCCCGTCCCCGTGCCCGATTTAGCTCGGTGCTTCCCGCGCCCGGGGATGCTCAGAGCCAGAAGCGATAAGAACCCGACATCGAGCTGCCTTCCTCCCCCCGAGAAACCCCCGAGAAAGCCCCGAGAAAGCCCCGGCCCCCTCCTCTCCTGAAGGCGACAGATTCCTTTTAAGGTGAAACTCCAACGGATCCAAACACCCTAAGGAAAAAAAAAAAATTAAAAAAAATCTCCTTGTGATGAGTTTAATCAGGCGCCGAGCCTGCGTTCCATCACACAGCCCCGCAGCAGCGCCCCCCGAGCCCCCCGAGGGGTCCCCAAAGCTGGGGGGTCCCGGCAAGGGGGTGGAGGATGCTGAGGAGGAGACGGAGACGGCTCGGGCCGTGCGGGGGGTGACATTCCTGGCGAAATGAATCCGCATTCCTGCGGCGCTGACAGCGATCAGGGGGCACAGATGGCGGGGGAGGGGAGCCCCTTCCTCCCACAGCAGCAGGAGGAGGAGGAGGAGGAGGAGGAGGAGGAGGAGGGGAGGAAGCGGTGAAAGCTCGGAGCCAGCCGGGGGGATGGGGGACAGTGCCGGGGCCTTTGGGGAAGAGCCGGGTCTGGGCGGTGCCCGAGGGACCGGCACCAAGAGTGTCCCCAATAGGAACAAAATTGTCCCCAACAGGACTGAGAGTGTCCCCAAAAGGACTGAGAGTGTCCCCAAAGAGATTGAGAGTGTCCCCAATGGGAGTGAGAGTGTCCCCAACAGGATTGAGAGTGTCCCCAAAGAGATTGAGAGTGTCCCCAACAGGATTGAGAATGTCCCCAAAGAGATTGAGAGTGTCCCCAACAGGACTGAGAGTGTCCCCAAAGGGATTGAGAGTGTCCCCAAAGAGATTGAGAGTGTCCCCAACAGGACTGAGAGTGTCCCCAACGGGATTGAGAGTGTCCCCAAAGGGATTGAGAGTGTCCCCAAAGGGATTGAAAATGTCCCCAACAGGACCAAAAATGTCCCCAACAGGACTGAGAGTGTCCCCAAAAGGATTGAGAGTGTCCCCAACAGGACTGAGAGTGTCCCCAACAGGACTGAGAGTGTCCCCAAAGGGATTGACAATGTCCCCAACAGGACCAAAAATGTCCCCAACAGGACAAAAAAATGTCCCCAACGGGAGCGAGAGTGTCCCCAACAGGACTAAGAATGTCCCCAAAGGGATTGAGACTGTCCCCAACAGGATCGAGAGTGTCCCCAGCAGGACCGAGAGTGTCCCCAAAGGCATTGAGTGTGTCCCAGCAGGAGCAAGGGTGTCATGGTGGGACTGAATGTGTCCCCAGCAGGACCAAGAGTGTCCCCAAAGGGGTTGAGTGTGTCCCCAACAGGACTGAGAGTGTCCCTGATGTGACCCAGCCTGTTCCCAGTGAGATGAGGGATGTCCCTCATGGGATCAGGAGTGCTCCCAGTGGGACCTGGGCTGTTCCTCAGCACTGTGTGACCACAACAGGACCAAACACGACCCTGGGGGGACCAAACACGACCCTGGGGGGACTAAATGTGACCCTGGGGGTACCAAACGTGACCCTGGGGGTACCAAATGTGACCCTGGGGGGACCAAATGTGACCCTGGGGGGACCAAATGTGACCCTGGGGGGACCAAACACGACCCTGGGGGTACCAAAAGTGACCCTGGGGGTACCAAACACGACCCTGGAGGTACCAAACGTGACCCTGGGGGTACCAAACGTGACCCTGGGGGTACCAAATGTGACCCTGGGGGGGACACGGGTGCCTGGGTCACCCCCTGACCGCCCTGCTGGGGCTGCACCTCGCTCCCCTGACCCCAAATCCCATCAGACCCAAGCAGGGTGCTCAGGCCCCACGGGCAGCACCCACTGGGGGGGTGCACACGGGCAGATTTTGGGGACCACGCTGATTTGGGGGGGGCTGAAAAGAGCAGTGCCAGCGCCCTGCCCTCAAACCCCGCTCACACCCGGGACACCGAGCGTGCAAAGGGGGGGTCCCGGGGGCCTGGGGAGGGGGGGGAGCCGCCAATTGTTGCCTGGGCTGGAGCTTTGAGAGCCCCTGGAGCCCCCCCGCAGCCTGGGCCCCCGCCAGCCAGGGCAGGGCTTTGTTTCCTGCCAGCCTGGGCCAGGGGATTTCAATGGAGCCCGCACAAAAAGCTCCCTGTGGGGTGAGCCCGCGCCGGGCCAGGGAGGGGGGAGAGGCGGGATGACCTCAGCCATGACTTCATCCCTCTCCCAGCTCCCAAAATTCGTGGGAACCTTATAAGGAAAGGACTAAAAATACAGCGGGAGGGGGCTCGGGCAGCCCCCGCTCCCC